CAGCCGCAACAGCAGGAGCAACAGCAGCAACAGCAGCAGCAGCAGCAGCAGCAGCAGCAGTGTTGCGTGTGCGCAGGGGTCAGCATGGGCAGCCTGGGCTATTTGACCAACTTCGGGGTTTTGGAAATGAAAAATATTGCTGCAGCTGTTGCGACACAGCCCTTTGCTGTCACTTTAAGATGCAGACTCGGTCAGCTGCTGCTGCTGCTGCTGCTGCTGCATCCTTCTGTTGCTGCTGCTGCGCGATCTGCTGCTGCTTCTGCAAAACTTGCTGCTGCTGCTTCCACATCCGGGTCTGCTGCTGGCGCCGCTGCACGCTGTGCCGGCGCTGCTGCGGGACGCTAACCTGCTGCTGCTGCTTCCCGCAACCTGCTGCTGCTGCTGCTGCTGCTGCTGCTGCTGCTGCAGAAGTGGGGATCCTCTCGTCGGAGGGCTCGCTGCTGCAGCGCTTCGTGGCCACCAACGACTGCGTCCTCGACAGGGGCGAGTCTCCCTTTGTGTCCATGTTGGATGTCTTTTTGGAAAACAAATATTTCACAACTGTCACCGCGGACGGCCTCATTGTGGCCACGCCCACGGGCAGCACGGCCTACAGCATGAGCGCGGGGGGCTCCATTGTGCATCCCAAGGTACAAACCCTTTTTTAGGGTTTAGGGTTTAGGGTTTAGGGTTTGGCGGGTTTTAGGGGGTTTTAGGGGGTTTTAGGGGCTTTAGGGGGTTTAGGGGCAGCATGGCCTACAGCATGAGTGCGGGAGGGCCCATTGTGCATCCGAAGGTGCAAACCCTTTTTTAGGGTTTAGGGTTTAGGGTTTAGGGTTTAGGGTTTAGGTTTTAGCGGGGTTCAGGGGGTTTAGGGGGGGTTTGCGGGGTTTCAGGGGGTTTTAGGGGCAGCATCGCTTACAGCATGAGCCTCAGGGGGTCCATCGTCCACCCCAAGGTGCAAACCCGTTTTTAGGGTTTAGGGTTTAGGGTTTAGGGTTTAAGGTCACGGGTTTAGGGTATAAGGGTTGGGAAAATAGGTGGGTTTTCATTGTAAGCTCAGGTTGATCCTTTTCGCAGCCGAAGGCCCTGCAGCTGTTACTGTATATACGCTTTTTCAGGGTTTAGGGTTTATGATTCAGGGTTTAGGAGGGTTGAGGGTCTGTCAGGCTTGGAATGTAGGGTTTAGGGTTTAGGGTTTAGGGTTTAGGGTTTAGGGTTTGGAGGGGTAGGGTTTAGGTTTTAGGGGCGGGGTGCCCAGTACAATTGCCGTTGTCTGCTGCTGGCTTTATCTCCCTTTCCCTGTTGCTGCTGCAGTTGCTGCTGCAGCAGTTGCTGCTGCTGCTGCTGCAGTTGCTTCTGTTGCTTCGTCGTCTTGTGTCTCTGCACCTTGCATTCCGCTGCTGCTGCTGTTGCAGCTGCTGCTGCTTCAACAGTAGTTTCCTGCTGCTGCGCCTCCCGCTCCCAACCCCTTGTTGCGTTCTCCTCTGCTGCTGCTGCTGCCTCTCCGCTGCTGCTGCTGCTGCCTCCTCTGCTGCTGCTGCTGCCACCTCCCCTGCTGCACCCTGCATGCTCGCTGCCCCTCCCCCCTCGCTTCGCCGCCCCACCCGCCGCCCCCCTC